TGTGGATCTGCTGTAATAGGAGTGGGGGCTGCTCTCTCTGTTTGCCATTGCTTTACATACTTGTCCTGTATCCTATCTAATACGTCCCCTCTTAACACTGCCATTGTTTTCTATCTCTGCTTACTTAAAGATCTTGCCATGTCTCTTACCATGAGCTCTGGTCAGAATGCGAGAGCTTTGGGAAGACTGCATCCTGGGGGGGGGGACCAGGATAAAGTGCTGCAGGTCAGGACCGAGGCATTGGTGAAGCTGAGGCAGGAACCCAGCCCTGGAATAACTGGAATAGCAGGGCTGCTGGGGGTCAGAGTGGAGTGGTGTTGGCAGAGTTGTCTGAGAGATAAGGACTGAAATAGCAGGATGTTGAGTGTTGCAGGACAGGACTGGCAGCTTGCACAGCATTGGTTTGCACAGAGCTCAGTCCTGGCTAGCACTGCTTTCCCTTTGTGATCCTACCAAAGGCTATGTCCAATGAGAGGCAGGAAAGCACCCTTCTGATTGACTTATTTTTGCAGGGAGTGCTTGACTCTGGGCCAGTGTCCAGTACCAGTGTGGTGTATCATGCTGGCTTGTAGGGGGCTCTGGCATCTCCTTTTGAATGAGATGGTGCCAGTGGACTCCATGGCCTGATCTGGCATGTTATGTCTTATGGATTCTGCAGAGAAAGGGTAGAGGGAAGGATGTGAATGCTCCAAGCAGCAGAGCCCTGCTTCTGAGGGTCCCTTGAACTCCTGTGTTGGTTCCTCTTCTCCACAGTAGTTCCATGCATGAGCCCTGGCCCCAACCACCCCACCCTTCATTTCATATAGATTAACAGCTACTGCAGTAGTCTTGACCACCTCAAAGCCCCAGAAGTAAATTGAGTTCCCTGTCAGCCAGATAAGAATTAAGCATGGGTCTTTGGAGCTCTGAAATGAAGTATATCAGAGAGTTTCCTCCATTTATACTGGGAAGAAGGATATTTCACTCTTCTCAGCAAAGGAGAGAAAGGAACACCCTTTCTGGCACAGTGTTTCTGTAGCTGCCTGGATATAAAACCTCCCAAGCTGATGTTCATGCTCCACTCTCCTGGGCACGTGTATGCCTGGAGCATGCCCCGTGGATCTCTCATGCAATAAAACTGCCATGGGCAATTATTTCAGCTGGAGGGCAACTTAACAAGTTTTGGTGAACTGCTGAGGGCTGCAAGGGTAGACTCGCCCCTTGACAGGTGCCCTGCCCCCTGGTTACCATCTTGGGACTGGAAGTTTTGCCCCTGACCTTTGCCAACAGATATCCTTCCCATTGCTCTGGAAGTACTCCTTTGGGAGTGTTGCCAGCTTGAAACTGGGGGGAAGAAAACCAATTATATACTAAAAAAAAAATCAAACATCTACTATAACTTATTTTAATTTTATTTCAAAAATATTTTTTTCCTGATTTATGTGTATTTGTGTAGTGTATCTAGAGGTGATTGCATAATAGCTAAAATACAGTCTACTCTTGTGTATTGTGTGTCAGGGGTAAGGAGGTGTATGTGGGGGCT